GCCGCGTCCCCGTTCGGTGCGCCTGTCGTGCTGCCGAAGGCCTTGGCCGGGCACGTCTGGGAGCTCTTAATCCCTTTCCGCGGCCGTCTGTGAAGCCGAACGGGTGTGTTCGCGCGTTGCACCCTCACAACTTTATGAGCGGGGGGGGACGTCTCGCAGCGCGCCGGGCTGGGTTGGTGGTCCTGGGCTGCTGGGAAGGGGCTGAGTACAGTGGGAAAGGGTGGATGCCTCTGCTCCCAGGAGACGGAGAACATAAGTTTCAGTGTGGTTTTTTTGACACAACGTTAAACTTCGGTTGGTTTTCACAGTAATTCATTTTTTCTCGATACCAGTGCTAGTTGGCTGGTGCATCTAAAATGCTTAAGCTTATACTTAGTTATCACAGAGTGAGCGGGTTCTTACCTGAATAAATTCTGCATCGTTTTGAGGGTTTACCGTGTCAGCGGTGAAAGGCAGCACGATAAAATATGTAGTCTAAAACTGGTAGTACATTTTGAGTAACGTACAGTGATTTAAAAACTTTTTACTCTCATCGTCTCGCTAAGGTTATATAATACAGGGGTTTGGTATTTTAAAAAGAAAAAGGTTGTAGGCTGAATTTTTTATTTTAAAGAATGTTCTTTTCTGGTCAAGGAAAAATGTTACTGAAGTAGGGACCGCACGTTTCACCGGAGCAGTAGTATTTAACTAAGAGAGTTTATAAAACAGTAACTTGTTCAGATGAGCATCGTGTTGTCAGTCTCCGTGTTCGCTTCCTCCGCTCGTGTTTACTTGCTGGCTGACTCACTGGACAACGTGTGCCTTGAAGTTGTTATGATACATTACCCTTCTGCGTGTGTCATAATAGCTGTCTGCAATACAGGGTGCCCAGATGAAATCACGGCAGAGCGAGCAGCCGCAACAACAACGGGGAGAGCTGCCACCTCCGACTGCAGTGAGGTTGTGAGGGAACAGAAATTGCCACTCTATCTGCATAAGTAACCGAGCTGCGGAGGTTCAGATTACTCCTCTCTCTTCACCGAGACCTTTTCTTTTCCGTGCTACAAAAAAAGCTGGTGCTTAGCTGGTAAAAGTAGTACTAATGTAGGCGTTACTGCTGTATTACTAGGTAGAGTCAGTGCTCCGTATATGTGTGTTCTTGTTACAGGAGCTGTTATCGTTTGCTGGGTTTGGATAGTTACCGTCGTAATGGATTCTTAGAGCTTCAGGAAGATACAGAATCACAGAACGGTTGAGGCTGGCAGGGATCCCAGGAGGTCCAGCCCCCCCTGCTCAAGGGGGGCCACCCCGAGCCGGTTGCCCAGGACCACGTCCAGATAGCTTTTGAGTATCTCCAAGGAGGGAGGCTCCTGGGCAGCCTGTCCCAGTGCTCAGTCACCCTCACAGCAAAGAGTTGTTTCCTTATGCTCAGACAGCACCTCCTGCGTTTCAGTGTGTGCCCGTGGCCTCTGGTCCTGTCACTGGGCACCACTGAGAAGAGCCTGGCTCTGTCCTCTTTGTACCCACACTTCAGGTATCTATATACATTGATGAGATCCCTCCTGAGCCTTTTCTTCTCTCGGCTGAACAGTCCCAGCTCTCTCAGCCTTTCCTTATAGGGGAGATGCTCCAGTCCCTTCATCATCTTAGTGGCCCTTCACTGGATTCTCTTCAGCATGTCAGCATCTCTCTTGCAGTGGGGGGCCCAGCGCTGGACACAGGACTCCAGCTGTGGCCTTGCCAGTGCTGAGTAGAGGGAAGGATCAGCTCCCTCGACCTGCAGCCCAGGATACCATTAGTCCCTTTGCCACCAGGGCACACGGCTGGCTGATGTCCATCCTGGTGTCTACCGGGACCCCTAGGGCCTTTTCTGCAAAGCTGTACTGGCACATGGGCTTGTTCCTCCCCACAGGCAGGGCTTTGCACTTCCCCTCGTTGAAGTTCATGAGGTTCCTGTCGGCCCCTTTCTCCAGCCTGTCGAGGTCCCTCTGGTGTATCAGCCACTCATCCCAGTTTGGTGTCATCAGCAAACTTGTTGAAGGTACACTCTGCCGCGTCATCCAGATCATTAATGAGGATGTTAAACAGGACTGGACGCAGCATTGACCCCCGGGGTGCACCGCTGGTTACTGACCTCCAGCTAGACTTTGTGCCACTGATCACCACCCTCTGGGCCCAGCCGTTCAGCCGCTTTTCGGTCCACCTCACTGACTGATCATCCAGCCTATGCTTCATCACCTTCTCTATGAGGGTCTTGTGGGAGACGGTGTCAAAAGCCTTACTGATGTCCAGGTAGAAAATATCCACTGCTCTCCCCTCGTCTACCAAACCGGTCTCATAGAACGTTGTCAAGTATGACAACCTTGTAACTTAAAAAAAAGACTGAGAAGATGATCTCATCACAACCCATACAGCGTGGCCAAAGGCTCTCGCAGTAATGGCGTCCACACCAAATGGCCCTGTTTTTCCAGAAGTAGTCAAGTCAAAAGCATTAAATGAAGCAGGCTAATCAGCCAGGTAAACTTCAACAAATACTGAGCTTGAGGTAGTCTGGTGTAGAACTGAGACTTGCTACCGTCAGTGGTTTCTGCTCGGCAAAAGCAAAGCCCATGCTAAGGAGGCAAACCTTTATCGAGTACATTTTTAGCGGAAGCATGGCTGGTGTAGGATGTGCACGTGACTGCAGAACTGTAAGGCACTGAAGAGCGTTAAATTTAGATCTTTCTAAATCTCCTTTAGTCTTGAGGAGTCTTTGAGACTCCTTTGTAGCTATATTAAATGATGGCCAGGGTAGATTTTTGAAAAAAGAAAAAATCAGCCAGTTTTTGTCAATTCCTTTTTTTATTTAAAACAAAGCTTACTATTTGCTGTTTGTACTCTTATTTGCATTTGTACTTGTTCAAGAGCTGATACCAGAAAATTCTAATGGCTATTTGCAATCAAAATACCATGTTCTGGTAGGATTGTGTAACTCTTGCTGGGATCTAGACATCAAAAAAATTTGTTTAGCTTAAAACTTTATCTTGTTTTAAGAAAAATCTGTTGGTTTGGGGTTTTTTTAAGTATATATGTAACATCAAGTCCCAAAGTTGGAAATAGCAGTTGTAGGAAGTCGACTGTTTCTAGTGGTGGTGTTCCTCCTCGCCTTTCACCTCTTCTGGAATTATTCTGGTGACACACTAAGACAAATAGAAGAGTCTGTCTAAACTGTAATGGATGTGCAAGACGCTATCGACACCAAATTTTACTTTAAATTGCTAATTCACCTAGGCAATTGTACAAGAGACTGTTCCATTCTTGGGTATCATAAAGCTGAATCAACTTTCAAAAATGTTCTACTAGAATGACCTCAGCTTTGTGCGCTCGGTGTGCTATTTTGAGTTTATTTTCATGTATTACGATGCTGCTGGGCAACTGATGTTTTTAACAAGGCATTGGTCCTTATTTTCATATGTCTTTTTTTCTGCTTGTAGCAGTACATGGTAACTCTGTCACCTTCTGGCCATCCCAATAATGAAAACGGAAGCTAAGGATGGAGAAGAGGAAAGCCTGCAGACAGCATTCAAAAAGCTAAGAGTTGACACAGCTGGGTAAGTAACACCACAGGGAGGTACAGAGTTAACATATTACAAATGGACTCGAAGGGAACACCCTTGCTGTTAAATTTGAAGGAATGAGGTAATTGCAAAGGGTTAGGGACTGAAAGCCTTCATTCTAGTTAAACAAACTGAAATAAATTCACTAGCTGCAGACAGCACTTCTCAAGGAATCGTCATTTGTTTGATCACTGTTAGCTCCCAACAGGCTTGAAACAAACAAGTCAGCACTTGACAACATGCTTGAAATGAATTTTGGCATGAATCTGGCTGCCAGAGGTTCTGTCCGTAGCACTAGAACTCTGCTTTTGAAGTTAGCATATTGTCATGGCTCTGAAGGCCTGTCATGAGAATAAACTCCCATCTTTTCCCAGGAGGGAAATGTTCTTTCCATGTCAGTAAAGGAGAGCGTTAGATTCAGTGCGTGATTCCCACACAAACTGTTTTCATTGCTGTCACTTAACACATTTCCTATTTATAACCAAAAATCACTAAATTAGAAAGAGTGCTTTTTGTGTTGTCTTGTTTTGTGGGAGATCCGACACGTGGCACTTACCCTCCCTGTCCCAGGTAGCAGAACACAAGCAGCATGTGTCTTCTGTTGGTGGTGATCATTTTTATCTGAAATGAAAAGGAAAAAAAAAAAAGGCTTCTATAGACTGTTTTTTCTGCTGACAAATGTGCACCGTTACACATTGCTTGCGTAGTACTGTGTTTCAGTAAGCTGTTGTCAGTGACGCAATTGTGCCCGTAGCTGAAATGAAAGCGTAGGTAAGGCAGTGTGTAAATATCACGGTGGTAACCAGAATTACCATAGAACTTAGATCGTGAGTAGATGGGCTTCTAAAGCTGTCTTTCGTTGAAGTAATTAAACTCGTTAGAAATGAATCACCACGCAAATGCCTCTCATTTCTTCAGTATCTCTAGTCCCACCCCCCAGGCAGGCATACTTAACTACTTTGGAGTTTTTACCATTGGCCTTCAATTTTCTGCTCTGTGTTCGTTGTCCTTTAAATGGAAAATAGCAGCTGTTTGACTAGTAGTTTGGACTCTATTAAATATCAGTTAACCCTATCCTAGATCAGTGTGTGGGGACTTATTTTCACTTTTCAGGGAATCCGCCCTGCTTACAAACTAATTTAATACCGGATTTGGAAAATAATTTCCTTGTGAATTCCAGTGTAATATGTGAAGTCGCAACTTGGAAAAATTGTTCTTGGGATTATCACAGCTCCTTGAAAACGGGAGTTTGGGCTGAATTTATAGCACCAGAAAAATTAGTAGATCTTCTAAGGTCCCTGGCTTGAATAGAAGTTGAAGATCTGACACAACTCTGTTGCTCAAGTGATTGAACTCGCAATAGTATGAAGAGTTTTAGCTTATGTTGTCCTAGACAGAGGCTGAAGTGTTCTTCAGTTAAACAAAGTCTATTTATGTCCAAAGAACATTTATTTTTAGGAAAGAATGGCTTATTTGTCTCTGGAAAAAGAGACGCGTTTCTTCAGTGATGGTGTTTTTCCCCTCCCCTCTCCCGGGAAACTGAAATTTAGCCATTGTGTGTGCTTCATCATTGGCATGTGGAGTTCGGATTTGCAGTCTAGTTGCTGAATGGCATCGTGTTTGGTGAAAGAGTCCGTTATACAAACTTTTGAGATAGGAATGTGTAAACGCTATCTTTCTGATTTGGGTCGTCTTTGTGGGCAGGTCTTTTAAGACATGTTGTAAATGATTTGGAGCAATCTTTTCTGGGAGAGAAGAGTGATAAGTTTTTTCATATTCATAATGCTAACCAGTCCAGGCTGTCAACTTTTCATTCTGTCTTTCACAGATCTACTGCTTCTCTCTCTGTGGGTGAAGGGACAAGTCCAAGAGCACTAGTTAGAACAGTGGCAGATGAAACCAAACCTAAGAATATGTGTACTTCTAAGGAAACCTGGCATGGGTAAGAGAAGCTTGGGATTATCAGACTACTTCAAATGGTACTGCATTGAAAGGGAATTTTAAATAGACAAGGTTTCTAGTAACTACACCCCTAAACAAGGGAGCCAAGTTTTCTTTATTAAAGGACTATTTAAAATACTCTACACCACCTTTTTCTGTTCATATGTGACTACTATTCTTACTTACAATTAGGTGAAGTGAAAGGAAATGCTGTTCACCTATAGGTTGCTAAACATTATAGATGTTTCTCAATATAAATGTGAACTGCTGTTTTTGAATCAGACAACCATGAACGCACCTCAGTCGTTTGACATTGCAGAAGCTGTCACTGTGCCTTGGGAACTAGATTAAAATAAAAAATTAGTTTCTGGAGTGTCGACGCAGAATTTGATGCTCATCTACTGAAACAAAACCACCCTTTGCCCTTGATTAATTAGTCTTGTGCTGTCTTCTTGTGCTGTGTCCTTCTCTTAAAGGTTATTTTGTCATGTCTCGCATGCTTTACTCATTTTCTAACCTTAAAAGCATGCACTTTTGGTTTCATTTCTCAGGTGTTCCTTTTATATTTTATAGAGCTGCCTGACTAGAACAAAGTCAGATTCCGAGATAGCAGAATACCCTGAGCAAGTCCTCTAAGCTTAAAGCTCTTGCATGCAACATAAATGTAGTAGAGATTTTGCCCAATGTTACGTGTAATCCAGCAGTAAGTCCTTCAGTGAATCTTCACTCCCTTTTGTACCTTTCCCTGGCAGGTCTATGAAGAAGCCTTCAAGAGGAGTTGTGAGAACCCAGCGTCGCAGGCGTTCCAAGTCTCCAATTCTTCATCCTCCAAAGTTTATCCATTGCAGCACAAAATCACATTCCACGTGCAGCCAGCTAGCACACAAGAGCCAGATTGATGCCCAGGACGACAGCAGTGGGTTTGGGATGCCAGTCCCACAGGAAGCTTGTGCACAGGAACGATGCGGTGTTGCTCCTGACGTTGGCCGGAAGGGAGCTGATGTGGAGTCTTTGGGAGCTTCTGTTACACAGTCGGCGTCAGAGAACAGACAGGAGAACTCTCCAGCTGCCGTTTCTCTAGTATCCAAAGCATGCCTAAAGACTAGGGAGCTTTCTGACTTTCAATCTGTGTCCAAGCTGAACACGAATAAGCCGTGTACGTGTGCAGATAAAGCCTGTCAGTGTAAACGATGGCAAGATATGGAAGTGTACAAATTCTCTGGCTTGCAGAACACCCTCCCGTTGGCACCTGATAGAAGAACAATTTCTGAGGATCACTCCCAGTCTTTGCCATCAAGAACTCCCTCAAGTTCTCCACGCTCTTGCTCTGAGCAAGCCAGGGCCTTTGTGGATGATGTGACTATTGAAGATCTTTCGGGATACATGGAATATTACTTGTATATTCCAAAGAAAATGTCTCACATGGCAGAAATGATGTACACCTGACAGCAACGAGCACTAAAACCAGAAGGGTGCGTGGTTTAAATCTGCCCTCCATCACACTCATGTGAGATGCACCCCACTCCCTGCTCACTGTGCTTGCAATAAAAACACTTCTTTGCATCTTAGCTAATGTTCATTATTTAAGCTGGACAAGCAGTTAAGCTTAAGCATTATAGTTTAAGCATGGAACAGATAATGAAGTAAACACGGTGAGCGTGTTTAGAGTGTACCTGCCTATAACTTAAGTGACCTAACATTTGGGAAATTCTACTTTGTTTTCAAAGTCCTCCCATTTTGGTTTGTTGGAAGAGAAGATTCTCTAGATTGCTTGGTGATCAGAGCTTTTATTGTGAGAAATTTGATGTAATTCAGCTGCTTTGAAATTGCTTTGATCTCAGGTTGTTAACACTTACACTTGTGTTTTTGGATGCTTGTGCCTCTGATTTTATTTCATAAAGGAGTGACCATCTCCTGTCCTCTTCTTGGTCCTATTACCACTCTAGGCAAATTCAGGAGACAGAGTTGTCTTTTTCTTGGATTGGAGGCATTGTTATTTCTTTGTGCCTAAAGAGGCTTTATTTCTGATCAGCTGAACAGGCATCCTCTTGCCCTATCTTTGATGTTAATGTAGTCAGATGCTCTTAGGTTAACATAACATCTGCTTGCAAGGCTGCCTGGTGAGAAAAGAAACGTGGACAATCAAAGCAAGGTTGTTTCAAGAGGTTATTCTGATCTCTGTAGTGTTGGTTAGGGGAAAATGTAAAGCAAGCATAACTTTTTGTCGAATGTCCAACAGGCCTTAGACTTGTCTGGAGCAGGAGAAGGACCCTGCTTTCTTCAGGGGGATTGCTGCTTCGGTTAACCAAGGGAAAAATGAGATGATGGACTCTGTTCAGTGTGGGTTTTATGAAGGCCGAAAGAGCATTTGCTCGCTTCAGTGGTCTTAAAAACCCCCCAGAGTGCATGAATTGGGTTTTTTTAGCTTTGTTCAGCCTGCCCTACAACACCAAGTATAACCCTTCGAGTATTAAGACCCACAGACTTGAGTGAACGGTTGTCAGCTGCACAGTAGGGAAATCTTGAGCACTGTGTTTTCTTTCTCCTCCCCTCCAGTCTTTTTACTAAACCACTGTCACTTTAGATGCCTTGTCCAGCTTTGCATTCTTCCTGAAACTTCCTTCTTCAGAAACAACCAGCTTGCCGTACTTTGTGTGCATCAGCACGCTCTGTCTTTTATAAATATGTGTATAGCAAAGGAGCATCCCATCAAATAATATGATTAGTTGAGGGAGAGATGAGTTGTGTTAAGTTTGTCTTTACTGTTTGCAGTACCCGAACTTTTCTGACCTGTGAGGTCTGGAGAAGAAATGGAGACAAACATTTCCCTGCGAAATCCTTTGGTCTTAACTCTTGGGGTTTTCTTTGTCATTTCTGTGGCAGTACCTAGTATCTTAGAACTAAGCAGCCATGCAAATTTACCTGTTTTGCCAGTTCTGAAGTGTCATCTACCCCTTGCAGAGTGTACTCGGGTCCCACATCTCCCTTCCATTTCCTCGCTCTTAAATAGCTGTATTTCTGCCACCCGTGTTCTGAATTCAAGGCAATTGTTTGGTAACTATTGTGTGCAATACCGGGCTGCAAAGCGCAGAACGACCTTACTTCTCAAGTAAGTATTCTTTACTGTTCCCAAATGCTTGCAGGCAGCAGCCACAGCACCGTTGTGGGGCTGAAAATGCCTTTCAAGACCGTGCTGCTTTTTACCATTTCTTTCATTAGTCACCACAGACCTGTACCTGCGGGGTTTAGGATTGTAACGTCAGGTGCTCAGTACCGCGTTATAGAAAGCGGATTGAAATCCAGGAGGTAATGTAAAAAAAATAGAGTAGAAAGACGTGAACTGGTGCAGACTGGGAAGGGAGGCAGTGTGAACTGGTGCAGACTGGGAAGGGAGGCAAGCAGTGCTGGGCCACTAGAGGTCACCCCCAGGCCGGCTGCGGGCTGGCTGGGTGCAGCGGGCTCCTCTGCGCCTCCTCAGCCTGAATGTGGCTTTCTGGGTTTTTTCTGCCAAAATGAAGAAATTGGACCGGCTCTGGGTGGTGCCTTAGTGCACAGGCAGTGTTAGTGCTTTCTGAAGATGGATTGTGTGGATATGTTAGACAGCGGTCAACGAAGGCTTTTTAAATGCCAGCGTCTGCATAAGTTATTAACATTTAAACAAAGTGTGCTATCAGTTCACAACTGTGCTGTGTAATTAGGAAGAGTTGCTAAGTAAATAATTACGTGGTCCTGAACTTGGCATCCTCTTAAGGCAGTTACAACATCTTTGGTCTGGCAAGTCCTGGAACGCCATGAAATAGAAGACCATGGGCAGCTGCCACTGCTGCCTTAACGCTTTCCCTTCTGTTACTACAAGGCGTTTTAAGATGCTTTGGTCTACCCAGAAACCACAACCAGAAACCTCTGGTTTTGCTTTGAGAAAATATGAATTTCCAGCCCTTAATCGTGCAGCAGGAACCTTGTAAGCATGACTGAGTAGTCTAAAAGCTTAGATTTAAAGGGAAAAAAAAATCCCACTTGAGCCAATTTCAAGATCTGACTATTTTTTAAAAAAGCTTTAGAGGGCTGGTTCTGCCAAGCGGCGCTTCTGAGTCGTGTCGGAGTCCCTCACCGAAGTGCCCGTTCCTTCCTGTGGCTAAATAAGTGAGGCCTTTGTAATTAGCTTTATCATGGGCAGTTGGTCCTTCTCACCTGTGCCTGCAGGTGTTTTGTAGTTTATTCGCTATATATACATACTTAGCCTTTCTTGCAGTTATATATTGTATGTTGGTGGGTTTTTTTTCCTATGCCTCTTCTTCCTAGAAATAACCAATGGGGAGGTTGTCCAAGTTGTAAAGCTGTGTTATGCGAGTCTGAAACTCGCTGTTGTCTGTGGCAGCTTTGCCCCAGAGCTCGGCGTGGGTCTTGGGAGCTCATCTCAAAGGGCAGAGCAGAGCGCAGCCTGCTGATGGCATGGTCTCGCCACACGGCTCTTGCAGCTTCTCAGCATCTCGTGGTCAGTGAGGGGAAGGTCATCTGTTCACGGTCTTGCTGTGACAATGTCTTTAGGAGATGGGACAGGTGTGACAGAGAGAAGGGGGGGCTTGGATTAGCCTGTTACCTGGTGTTTCATTCCTCGTCCTCTCTCTACCATCTGTATTTGATGACATGGATTGTTACAAGCAAGGTGGACTGTCACTACTCTCAGGGTGTGTGTGCAGCTGTCCCAAGGAGGGTCTCGCCTTTCTTTTCCAAACATAGTGAGACTAAATTATGCTGCCAGCTGTTAAACAGAAGGAGATTTTGTTAAGTTTGTTGTTGTTTGGGAGAGGGAGGAATGACTCTTTGTGGATCCTTTTCACTGCCCTAAAGCAGAGCTGGAGATTCACTTTGCAAGTAGCAGACGGGGTGAGTAAGAAGCACGCTGTAATCTGGGTGGTGGCTGTGCTTTTACTCCTTGTTAAACACCGGTGCGAGCACACCCGCCTCCAGAGGCATCCCCTGCCGCTGCCCTGGGCATCCCTCCCGGGGGGGCCCGGCGGAGCGGGCGCGGCTCC